GTAGAAGACTCTAGGCCTGGCCCAGTGTCTTCACTACTATACCACACTGCCTTTATGGTTTCTCTTAGCAGCAGAGAGACAACCAGTGGTATTTTTCAACAGTCAAGGTGTCCTCACTTGGCAGCTGTTAGATGAGACAATAGTAACTTTCATGGAGCTTTAATACTTTTAACACAAAGACCTCAAACAGGGACTTCATTCTGTATTGCTTCTATGGATTGGAATGGAGTTGGTGCCCCTTGTCTATGTTACAACTCAGGAATAAGAGCTAAAGGAACCATTTTATTATTTAGCATTACAAATGCATATGATGCTGGAAGAAGTAGTATAAATAAAACAATGTTGCCCTATCAAGAACAAGACTCATCAAAATATAGAGAATCATGAACTGAGAGAAGGATTATGAAGATCTAGTCATGAAACAAAATGCTGAGTCCCATATGTAAGCTTTCTTTCAGGAAAAATAAAAATTAAAGATGCAAAGCCTAAACTACATTTGGAGTAGGAGGTTAAAAGAAAGTTTAGCTAGATTTAAATATTATCAATATTTTATCAACATTGACTAAGTGATGGATGGAAGATGCCCTTAAAACTTGTATCTTCTGGGATTATAGAAAAAGTATTAATAAAGGAGAACATTTGTTGAAATGAGAAATCCTTGGTGCTCTCTGAGTTTGTTTGTTTGTTGCAGATGATTCATTACTCACATTAACTAACATCGTCAATGCTCAAATGATGTTTCCTAGTTTGGGTAATGAAATGTCTGCAAGAAAACCAAACTCAGAGCACACCAAGGATTTCTCATTTCAACAAATGCTCTCAGAAAAAGTATTCTTGGTTCCTTTCAAAATCTTATCTCTAAGCTAAGCTTCCCCAACCTGGCATCCTTCAGATGTTAGAACCACAATGTCCCTCATTCTCAGTTGCCTTCAAGACCTTTTCTCATTTGGCTTCCTCTTTCCACTTGGGGTTCTCCAGAGAAGCTGAGATAGAAATCTTCTCCCTCATACTTGTGGAGCCTACCTAGAAGACGCCAGGCTGGGGAAGGCTGTTGGTGAACCTCTCCTCTAACCCTTTGAAGCTCCTTCGCCTGGATGAAACTGGAAAGGGATGGAATTTCCAAATGGGGAGGCAGAGCTCAGCTGTTTTTATTGTCCTGCTGAATTCACAGACATGGACAAATTCACAAATTCCTGTGACCAGGAAGATGCCGGCTGATGTAAAACAGGAGCTAGGCTCAAGCAGAGAAGACAGGGAAAACCAGGGGCAATTTGAATGCTAATTTATTTTCTTTATAAACTAGTTGTGAGGTTCAGGAGCCTCATCCTGCTCCTCCTTGTCCCTTGATTCCATTGTCTTGAGTCCAGGGGCTGGCTTGCCATATCAAGCAACAGACCTTATTTTGACACTTTTGGGAGGTGGGGAGGGGGGCTTTGATATGCATCCTGGCTTCTGCTCCTTTTCTTTAGCAGTTATATTGCCGGAAAGACTGATGATTTTCACAGCAAATAAAGAGGCCCTCTCTTGGCTTTTATTGTGTTCTGAAAAAATGCCCTGTGAATTTTATGACCAAGGGGAAACCTCTCCCCCCTCCCACTCCTCCCCAAGAACAAGACTGCTAGAATAACTGGAGTATCCTTAAAACAGGTCCTGGTTCTAAAACACCTGGCGAGTTGTTTTGTTCAGAGTCAACAACCTGATTCTCTCTGATTACAAAAGACCCCTTTAAATGGGTCTTCCACCATTCCTTTAGCACATCCCCATTACACATTCCAGTCCAGGGCACCCACCCTTCTTTCCTACTTCTAATATCTCATTTAGAAAACAAAAGTCTATTCTTTTTAGCCTTCATATGCTCTCATATTCTATTTTCCACCCTCTGTTTCAATGGCTGTCTGGTTCATCTTTTAAAATGAAGAGCTTTAAGAGAGAAAAGGAGAAAAAGACGTTGATCCACTTCATGGAGAAAGCTGCAGCTTGAAAAGCAGCAGGTGGAATCTTTTCAAATCTGGCTTCAGGGTTTTTAAAGCAGCCACATACTTCATTTTGTAAGTCTCTGAGCATAACAATTCCAAAAAGCAGCAAAAATTTAACATGTGGGGAGTTATCGTACAGTGCATGACACAGATGATGGGAGATTTTAGTGTTAAAGATAGCTTAAAGAGAAATTATTCAGGAAATTATTTTCCATAAGGCAAGGCTTTCTAAAAATGCAGTTTCAATCTAGACTTTTTTAGTGAGAACTGTAAGCCCTTTAGTTTTTTGGAGTAAAAACTCAGTTCTTTAAATTATATTTTTGAGGGGAAATTCCAACTAACTTCTCTGAAATGTGCCAAGCATACATAGGATTCAAAATTAGAACATTCCCCATCTTGACAATTTCTGCAAATTTCTAGTTAGATGGACCTTAAAAGTTGAAGTTCTACTGCATCTGGAGGTCTCAATGTCCCTGATTCACAGCAAGAAAGTCACATCATCACACAAATGTCATTTGTGGATGTTATTTGTGCAATGTTGTCATGATATACATGATATCTGTCTAATGTCTATGTCTGTAGACCATCAAACAGAAGAAGGCTATTTCAGTGGCAGATCTTTTCTGCTGCTTTGTGAAATTTACTGAAACCAAATTTAAGCCCTTAAAATGCTATTGGTTCAGTCATTGTCCTCAAAGGTTAACACTTGAAGCTTATTTCTCTTTCCAAAAATATATCTGTAATGTTGACATAGGGACCAAATAGAATTCCTATAAATACAGTCCTTCAAACTAAGATTTGCATCTATTGTCAGGAGGCAGGAGTTTTGCCAAGTTCTTTAAGCAAGAGATCCTAACTCTTCCTCCACTTAAATTTACCTTTTGGTCTCTGATTAGCTAGATCACCCTGAGTACAGCTCCAACAAGCATGAAAAGTAAGTCCAATTGCAAGAGGTTAGTGGCAATTATTCTAAGGCAGAGTTTCTCAATCTTAATAATTTTAAGATGTATAGACTTCAACTCCCAGAATTAGGAAAGTTCCTGAGGTTGAGAAAGGAGAATTCCCTTCTTATTCCTACAGTTTCCAGCACCCAACCATACTCTTTGAGCTCAAAAACAAGTGATCACTAGAAAATCCTAGGGTTATAGCCTAATGGAGAAGTTTCAAAAATCCGGGAAGAAGACAATAACACTTCCCTATTATTGCCAAGAAAAATACATTGGTATTTCCATCAGGTCATCAGGGCCAAGCTCAACTTGATAGTAACCTGTTGTGTTTTTTTTTTAAGTCTCCTGTAAGCAGACAAAGGAAAATCTCAGAAGCACAAGCTTCATTCCTACAAACATTCAGTGTGCTGGCAAGTTCAGTGAGTGACCAAAAGGTTCTGGTCAGAGAGCTTGCTGTGCTTTTTTGCATTACGTATTTCTGGGTGGACCCTTTGGGTATTTTGGACTGTCATTCCCATACACCATACTGATTGGACGGGTTGAAAATACAGGTAGCCCTCAACTTACAACCACAGCTGAGCCCAAAATTTATGTTGCTAAGTGAGAAATTTGTCGGGTGAGCTTTGCCCCATTTTACGACTTTTCTTGCCACGTTTGTTAAGTGAATCACCACAGTTGTTAAATCAGTAACCCGGTTGTTAAGCGAATCTGGCTTCCCCGTGGACTTTGCTTGTCAGGAGGTCGCAAAGGGGGGGGGTCACATGACCCCGGGACACTGCAACCGTCATAACTATGAGCCATTTGCCAAGCATCCGAATGTAAATCACGTGACCATGGGGATGATACAATGGCCATAAGTGTGATAAGTTATGGTCATAAGTCACTTTTTTCAGTGCCGTTGTAACTTCAAACTGTCACTAAATAAACTGTTGTAAGTCGAGGACTACCTGTATGGCCTACCACTTCTGAAGTTGATTAACTGGAGAAAGGCTACCATTAAGGCAAGAGACAAAGGTGCCCTTCAGGTTTAGTGGGAAATGACATATGTTTACAGGCCAGGAACAGATCCATGCATGGCTAATATTTCCAACACAAAATGTCTTCCCACTAAATTCTGATGCCCTTGCAATAATTGCTGTTAGCAACAATCTACTTCTTTCCTGTCTGCAGAAGCCTGCCACAAACAGTGCAGGTCAACTAGGAAATGTTTTTGCAAGCTTTTAGCTGTTTTAGAAGTTATGGGTAAAGATGCTTGAGGAACAAAACCAAAATATGCTTGAATACATATGCCTTCTTATCCCTGACCCAGCCAGTGTGATTATAGGCACACTTTGAAAATAATTGAACGTAATTTTGATTGTTGTACAACTGTAGCATCTCTCTGCTATTATTTAAGGCAATCTGACTTTTCCAAGAATTCCTCATGGGCCTGAAAAATAACTGCCACTGTTTTAAGGAACCAACTCATCCCACGAATGTCACTTTTAAAGCAGAGTGTGTTTTTGTAGGCTTCACAGAAGCCTAAAACAAAAGAAGTGCTTTCATGAATAACAATGAGATGCTGGGTTCACACAAAGTCTAAAGCAGGGGTCTCCAACCTTGGCAACTTTAAGACTTGTGGACTTCAACTCCCAGAGTTGAAGTCCACAAGTCTTAAAGTTGCCAAGGTTGGAAACCCTGATCTAAAGTACTTCTTCCAAATCATTTTTGAAGCATAAGAATTAGACCAAAGGTGCTTTGTAAATACTAGTATTATTTATATTGGAATTGGAATATTTTTTATTGGCCAAGTGTGATTGAACATACAAGGAATTTGCCTCCAATGCATAAACTCTCATACATAAACTCCAATGCATAAACTCATATACATACAGTACACTTACATACAGTACATTTAATAGTAATTTTTTGTAAATGGTATTATTTTAGTTCTGCTTGGAAGACAGGCTTAGCAAAAGTAGTGCTGGCATTTTCCAGCATATTTGCATCTTCTTTATATGGTTTAGCCAAAGCCTGATTAGACAGGTCCAAGATTTCAGGAGCAAATGCAAACTTTTCTTACTTTCTTTTTCAACAGGTAAAACAAGAACAAGAGAGAAGTACCGTGTGGTGTACACAGATCATCAGAGGTTAGAACTAGAGAAGGAGTTTCATTACAACCGATATATCACCATCCGAAGGAAGTCTGAGCTTGCGGCAAATCTGAGACTTTCTGAAAGACAGGTAGAGCCTCAGTTACTTGCATAGGCAGGGTTTCTGTCCAATTCAGAGCAGAGGACCAGTTGGGTGGGTGGGAAAACATCTCCTGAGGTCCTTGGTGCTGCCTGAGCTTGGTGATTTTCTTGTAGATGTCTCTGCTAGCACTGATGATGTCACCTAATTGGGTAATGAAATGTCAGCAAACCAACAAGCTCAAAGACCACCAAGGACCCCACAGGTTAACCCTGAGCTACAAATATTCTCTTCTATCAGGACCTTTGCAGATTCAAGGCAATCCATGCTTTTCCTGTGGTCCCTTTTATAGATAAATGACTGAAAGAAGCCCTGGATTAGCCATTAAGCCCATGCTTAATGCCCCAAGAAAAGGTGGCACCATAGAGATATTTTCTCTAGCTGTCATGCCCTTCACTGTTTTACTGCTACACTCAACTTTTGTTAAATTTTTTTGTAATTGTTCTTATTTGCTGCAGTAGACTTTAATCTGCATCATCATCATCATCATTATTATTATTATTATTATTATTATTAAAAACTTTTTTTGGCCCAGTGCGGAGGTAAAGTTTAAAAACTTGGCTTACAGGTGGCATCAGATGTCACATTTGTTTCTCATCTTATGCCCTGGAGATTTTGCTCCCCTTGAACACCAATGTTGGGTTATGCTTAGGACACCCGTTGGCCTTAATGCAGCCCTGATAGAAAGAGTAATTGACTGGATTAGAATGGCTTCAAGCAGCATATTCCCCCATACTCATCAAAGGTTTGGTCCAAGGGTGAAATGCTCCCGGTTCGTACCGGCTCACCCGATCCGGTAGCAATGGTTCGGAGAACCGGTAGCAAAAATCCCTGCACGCCCCCCCATGCCCAGCTGAGCCGCATGATCATCAGAGGCTGGTTTTTTTACTTTTAAAAGCATTTTTTTCTACAACCTCTTTGGCCAAAAAAATGCTTTTAAAAGTTTTTTTTAAAAAGCCTCTGATGATCGTGCAGCTCAGCCGGGATCGTCAGAAGCTTTTCAAAGCATTTTTTTCTGCAACCTCTTAATGTTGTAGTAAAAATGCTTTTAAAAGTTAAAAAAAAAAAGTTGGCCACGCCCACCCAGTCACATTACCCCGCCCCCCCACCAAGCCACGCCCACAGAACCAGTAGTAACAAATTTTAGATTTCACCCCTGGTTTGGTCACTCAGATTTTGAAAACCTCCTTTCAACAAGCAACGTCAATGGAGAGGCCAGATTCATTTAACAATTGTACAACTAACTTAACACCAGGTTATAAAATGGGGCAAAAGTCACTTGATAAATGTCTCGCTTTGGGCTCATCTGTGGTCTTAAGTCAAGGTCTACCTGTATCTCTCTGCAGGGACTTCTTTGGGTGATGTGCTCCATAACATCACCCTTGACTCACCTGCTAGGGGCTAGTTTTCCTAAGGGTTGTTGGTCAAAGAATAAAACATAGAAATCATAGAATAACAGAATTGGAAGGGACCTTTGGAGGTCTTCTAGTCCAACCCTCTGCTCGAGCAGGAGACTCTCTACCATTCCATACCAATGGCTATCCAGTCTCTTCTTAAAAGCCTCCAGTGATGGAGCATTCACAACTTTTGAAGGCAAACTGTTCAGCTGGGTGATTCTTCTCACTGACCAGAAATTTGTCATTAGTTCTAAATTGCTTCTGTCCTTGATTATTTTCCATCCGTTGTTCCTTGCCTTCCATTTTGGTCCTTTGGAAAATAGATATCATGACACCCCTAGTCCTTCTTTTCACTAGTCTAGACCTACCCAATTCCTGCAATCATTCTTCATATGTTTTAGCCTCCAGACCCCTAATAATCTGTGTTGCTCTTCTGTGCACTCTTTCCAGAGTCTCTACGTCTTTTTTATATTGTGGTGACCAAAACTGGATGCCAAGTGGGGTTTTACTAAGGCATTATAAAGCGGTACTAACACTTCATGTGATCTTGATTCTATTCCTCTGTTAATACAGCCTAGGATTGCTTTAGACTTTGCTCATCTTTAAGGCTCCCAATGTAAAATGATAGAAACTCTTTTTACTCTCTTCCTCTGTTTTGCTCTTGCAGGTGAAAATCTGGTTCCAAAATCGCAGAGCCAAAGAAAGGAAACTAATGAAGAAGAAAATGACCAGTTTTGATGGCGGCAGCCTGGGCTCCATCCAGAGTGACTCTGGTTCCATGAGCCCTATTCCAGTTCATGACCCACAGACTCACTCAGAAATGGCTGGCACTTTGTTTCCACCCCCACCCCCACCCCCTCCCCCACCCCCACCCCCTCCTCTTTCCATGAATGGTCTTCAGCACAATGGAACAATTACACGAGTTGTGGTCTCTCAGTGAGGACTTTCCGCCAAGTCAAGAACACAGCAACACAAGTTTGCAGTGGAGCCAACAGAGCAGTTGGCACTACAACTCCCACACCTGGCTTCCCCATGGCCGTTTGCAAAAGACAGAGGGCTTTCCACCAAAGCTTGGTGGCCACACAACCATTTTGGACAAGAGGTCCTGTGATACTGAGGGAAGGGGGTAAACCATGAGCTCTCGGTTACAAAGTTGTGCTGGTTGGAGGCAGCGAGAATGGCTGGAGCAGAACGCCTCTCCTGCTTCTGTACTAGTGGTCCTGCACTTTGTTTGACTAGAGATTGGAAGATTTCACACACTTTGGCAACTTCAACCTCTTGTTTTATATTTTTCCTGGTTCACAGGGTGAAGACACGGTATCAGAAGAAATACCACACTAGCATAACTTATTGTCAGGGTTGGGCCTATGACATCTGCTTTGCAGAAGGAGAGAGATAGTGCTGGATGTGGAAGAAAGCACAAAGCACAACTTGCTGTGAATCATAGCTTTCCTGTTTTTAAAATATATATATATCCTAAGATTCTAGTCTTTATCACAAAGATATAGGTTGGGAGGGAGGGATGTCTGTTTTTTTTAAAAAAATCATAATCCAGGTTTCTACGGATTGAGAAGATGGAGGTGAGGTTCTGGAATTTTTTTAGAACTCTCTGCTTCCTCCACTACTATAATATAAACTATACATGATGCAAATCTGCCCAATTTGCACTATTTTTTATCAATCATAATATTCAGTTTGTTTTGGTGTGGGACTGGCTCATTTGAATGCTGAATTTTAGTGCACAGATATCTGACACCATTAAACAAATTTGCAGATCATTCAGAGTTATTCTTCTATGGATTATTGAAAATCATGTTGTTAATTTGAGATTCCTAATCCAGAATGCTTCCCCCAGAGGTTTTCAGCCTGGTTCCTGCCTAACTGTAAAAATGGTACACTTTTCAAACATTGCCCAGTTGTAACAGCAAGTGGGTCACCGAGTTTCAAATCCATCCCAAGCGTTAAATAAATCTTCTGAGGGAGATTACAAAAGTTTGAAAGGTTGGTGAGCAATTTTTGCTCTATGTCTGGAATATAAAGTACTGTCATAGAAAGTAGAGAGTTTAAGATTATGTGAGAAATCTCTCCCAAAGGCTTTATTCAAAAGAGACACCATCATCCCCAACACTTCCTATGAGTTTTCTAAAGATGCCCAAATTCATGCCAAGTACCTTTTAGCTTATTTCCACATTAGGAATATTGGGTAAATGTGAAGACTATCATTCTTATTTTGTTTGAAGTCAGGAGCAGTTTCCTGATTGGTAATTATTGGCCAATGCAATGAAAGTTTGTGCCTCATTGGTAAGGCACAAACAAGGCTTCCATCTTCTATAGTTGGACTTCAGATCTAGTTCAAAGTTGCATTTGGAAGTTCAGAAGTATTAATTTTGTACTAATGAAAGACAATTCTGTGATCCATTGGGTCATCCTTTGAGAGAAAGGCATAAGGTCTGATGTGATCAGAAAATTAAATTTTAGGTTGACCATATTCTTTTACCTCAATAGTGAAGGGTCCATGGTTATCAAGAACAGCATATCTCATAAGCAGAAAAATAATTGTAGTGGCACTGAACTTCAATAATAAGTCAATATTTATTTATTTAATTATTTATTTATTTAATCATTAAAATTTATATGCCGCCCTTCTCCCGAAGGACTCGGGGCGGCTCACATAAATAAAAAACAATAACAATAAAATCTAAAACCAATCTAAAATTAAAATCCCCAAATTTAAAACCTTGTAGAATGATCAGGGAGTCTGCTGGAACAGCCATGTCTTCAGGCCAGCGCGGAAAGTGCGGAGGTCGGGAGCCGTCCGGAGCTCAGTGGGTAACCCATTCCAAAGGATCGGTGCGGCCACAGAGAACGCCCTCATCCTGGGAGTCGCCAGCCAACACTGTCTAGCCAACGGCACCCGGAGGAGGGCAGCTCTATGTGAACGCACAGGGCGGTGGGAGGCTGGTAGGAGGTGGTCCTGCAAGTACCCCGGGCCCATGCCATGTTTACTTACCTAAACAGAAAGACATGGGTGAGTAGAGCTGGAGTAAGTTCTGGCTTCCTGCTGGCTTCTCCAGTGACTTGTGGGAAGCTGGCAGGGAGCATCGGAAATCATACACATGACTTCAGAGACGCTGCAAAGGCCATAGCTTTGCAAATAAAACCGAACATTTTAACTCCCCAGGAGTAATGGGGCCAGATTTTTAAACTTATTCCTTAAGGTTTTACGTACCTTGATTCAAAAAATTGTAATGCACCATTTGGGCTAATGAGGGTACAAACTGATAAACACAGTGACAGTTTTAGTAGTATATAAATGGTTTTTGAAAATACCCACTTTGTGATTCCAAGCTGCTAATATTGAGGAAGTCTAAGTGGCTCTAAACAAAACACAGGCCTTCATTTTTCTTGGGCCAAACATAAAACTGCTGATACTTGGTTACCCAATTCCAATTTAGCAGAGTTTACAAAACTATTTCAAATTAGTATCCTAAGAGAGTTCTTAGAAGATCCCAATGTTTACAGCTGCATTTCTCAAACTTGCCCACTCTAAGTTGTGTGGACTTCAACTCCCAGAATTCCCCAATTGGCATGGTGGCTGGGAATTGTAGGAGTTGAAGTCCATACATCATAAAAATCGTAGAGGTTAAAAACACTGATCTAGAGTCTTTAGGAACTCACCAAAATACCATGTCAAACTTTCAGGAGATCCAGACTGGTGAAGACTTAGCTACAAAAACCTGATAGCCACATTCCAATGTTTTCTTCTGTCATATATAATGTGACAATCAGGGTTAGTTCCAAATTATGTAAATTGAAGACATTAATTCTCCCTACACAATCCAAGTATGCTTTGACAATCATTTTTTAGAGTGCCATGGAGATCTCCTTTGAGAGCCATCCAGAAGACATTGGAAACACAAAGTGCAGAAGAAATGGATTCCATGTAAATGGGTTTACATGGAAGGAGAGAAGGGAAAAGACGGCAGACTTGCAAGATATTTTTTTAACTATAGTTTTTCTTGATGATGATTTTATCCATTCAGTCTAGTCTAACTCTTAGTGATTCTACGGGCCAGGTCTCTCCACATCTTGATCTTGCACAACTTGTTTGAGTTGTTTTGTGCTCTGGCTGGTGTCAACTTTGATTGTGTCCACCCACCATGTTCTTTGGAGGCCTGGTTTCCTTTTATCACTAGCTCTTCCAAACATCATTGCTTTCTCCACTGAATTCCCCTGCACAACATGGCCAAAGTAAGTGAAACATAGCTCTTAGTATAGTTCTAGCCTTCTTGTGGACTCATCTGATCAGGGCTATCTTGTAGGGCTGACATCTTTTTCTACTATGTCCCTATGTCCACATGAATGAAATGAATGTCCTTCACTTTGTCCACATGAATGAAACACACTTAATAAAGTAGCATTTTCCCTTTTCTTCCAGCCACATCCAAAGGTACTATTACACCGGGAGGGGAATCAAGGAATTACACTCATAGAAATAGACACAATAGAGTTAGGCAGAAATTTCACATCAGAATGATTTTCTATTAACTGAACAAAGTTAATAGAAACAAAGGAATTGGGTTTGTCAAGTCTAATGAACAGAAGGATGAGGGGTGACATGAGAGCAGTTTTCCAGTATTTCAGGGGCTGCCAGAAAGAAGAGGAGAGGTCAACTTATTCTTCAAAGCACATGAGTGTAGAACAAGAAGCAATGGGTTGAGATCCCACCTAGACAAGTGCAATCCCCGCAGCTGTCACCCTGTGAAGGAATAGAACTGCAAATTGTTTGGTTTCAATTGGTTTGCCCATAATACCTAAAAAAAGTTCAGGTTTTATTAATATTTATACCTTAAATATTTTCTCTGTTATTATTATGTTTATCCAATACATTTTGCAAGACAACCACGCATGATAAAATGAGCCTGGATTTTGATTACATTTCCAGCACTTATTAGAAGTCCCTTTACACATTTTCGCTAGTCTATTGGGGTCAAATACATCATTTTATAGAAATTTTCTTTCAAGTTATAATTTAATGTAAATTAAAGGAGAAATTTCTTAACAGTGAGAACAATTAACCAGTGGAACGGATTGCATTCAGAAGCTGTGGGTGTTCCAACACTGGAGGTTTTTAAGAAGAGACTGGAGAGCCACTTGTCTGAGATGGTAGAGGGTCTCCTGCTCGAGCAGGGGGTTGGACTAGAAGACCTCCAAGATCTCTTCCCACTTTGATATTCTTTTAAGACTTAATACTTAGAGAACATGATAAAAAGCAGACGCCCCGATATCTGGCTCCTCAGATTTTCCATTATCTTCATGTCATCCCAACCTTAGAAATGTGAGCTTGGAACTCTTATGCAGTGCATGCTATAGTACCTTAAACAAAATGCCTTATCTAAGGCTCTTTCTGTGAATCCTGTGAATCCTCCACAAATCTGCAAGTCCAGCTGCTGGCCAGACAATGCAATCTCTTCAAGATGAATAAAAACTTGGGGATCACTGCTAAAATAGATCTAAAGAAAATGGAGATAAAGGTCCAGACAGCTCAGGAAAAGAGCTTTATCTCTTATTTCATAGATAAAACAAAAAAAAAAAACAGAAGAGATAACATATGCTATCTGAGGGTGGGTTCTAACAGAGGTTGTGGAGAGAGCCAGCAAAAGACCATCACAGATAGACTGGCCTATCTAAAGACACCTTTGGGAGATCAGAAATCCATCTATGCACAGGTTCTCATCTGGACTTCCACCAGTGGTTGGTTGGTTGGTTGGTTGGTTGGTTGGTTGGTTGGTTGGTTAGTTAGTTAGTTAGTTAGTTAGTTAGTTAGTTAGTTAGTTAGTTAGCTGGATAGTTAGTTACACGTAGTCCTGAAACAGCAGCAGCTCTGTAAAAGGACAAATACCTATACTGAAAAGCTCTTTCTTTCTTTCTTTCTTTCTTTCTTTCTTTCTTTCTTTCTTTCTTTCTTTCTTATCTGTCTGAATTGAACAAAATTTTATTTTGTTCTAATGTATCTCTTTCCCTTTCCTTATTCTTTTCTTTTTTCTTTCTCCCTTCTATTTTTCCTTCCTTCCTTCCTTCCTTCCTTCCTTCCTTCCTTCCTTCCTTCTCCTGGGCTCCAGCAATTCAGCAAATGAAAGCAGTGAGTCTGCATGGAGCATTGTTTTTTAAAAGGATGGCTGGGAGTCAAGAGCCATCTTCCTTTCCCAAAACCCCAAGCCCTAAGGGGGCCATTCTTGGGGCGTCCCCTTCCCTTAGCAAACAGGGCCGTGTTGAACCTGTTGTCTTTCCATGAGGCAGAATAAGCACCTGCCTCTTGGGCAAGGGCAAACATCAGCCTACCTGTTGGCTTTCTGTAAATGGACCTTAATGGGGGCATTTTGCAGCTGCACTTTCTCAGAGAGCTGACAGAAGCTTCATCAGCAGGGATCCCCAGCTCCTCTCCTTGCTAATCCTTGACCTTCTCTCAGAAAGGCCAAGGGTGAAGAAAAAACCAAGTCAGCTGTTTTTCTTTCCACACTTTGCCGAAAGTGGGGAAAATGCAAGAGTCACACCTTGGCCCAGGCACAAGCGGTGCAAAGGAGGAGGATGGGCCTTCTTCCTTCAGCTAGCAAAATAAACTGTATTCAGACCCCCAAAAAGGCCAAGACCTTAGCCCTCTCTTCTCAGCCCTTAATTGGTGGGAACAAAGTTCTCTATTCCATCACGGTTTGACCTAAGGCAAGGTACCATCTCAGCAAATCTGGCATCAACAGTTTAGAGCTGTCCACCTCCTTAA